GGCAAAATTCTCCACTGCTGCTTTGTACACCATAGAAATATGAACCTGCCTTAAGATGATTTACATATGTATACCGGTAATTTTTCAATAACTATTAAAATCAACAAAATTCAACTGACCTGTTACAGAAAGAGCAAAGAACAAAAATACTGACAAAGAAAATAAGGCATTAGAATTAGATTAGTGTAATTTTCGTGAAACAATCAGAAATCTTCATTCATTTATTGGAATTCCACATCATCTTTGGTAGTAGTATTTTTAGTCGAGGTTATAGTCAGTGGTGTTCTTCAAGAAAATATCAGGAAATCTCTCAAGAATTACAGATGGGGTGTAACATAACTCTATCTAAAAGCAATATCAGAGTTTTTTTTACTCGACAACCCTTCACATTTGATATTTTGCCGGCTCCAAGATGGATTCCTTGTGAATGGTTCTTACTGTCCGTCTGCCATCAATCAAATAGTGTACCTGTAAATTAATCTATTTATATATCTTCGTTCTTATTGGTTGTTGTAAGTCAAGAAAGTTTGTTTACAAGTTCAATAGTTTAGTTACTCCGTTTGTTTTATATTCCTGACTAATCTATCAGATCGTCCAGAGTCTTTGATTGTCGAATGTCGACTGGACTTATTGTATATAGAATGTTTATTGATATAAGATGAAGATCAAAGGGGAGATTATGGACCATGCTTTTAAACAATTTTATTTACTGACTGGTGGCTTAGCGATTAAGGCGCTAGCTCCCAACCAGGAGATCTGGGGTTCGACTATGGTGTTAGAAGAGTAAGTTTCCCAGGACTAGACGAAGATCAAAGGGGAGATTACGGACGATGCTTTTAAACCATTTTATTTACTGACTGGTGGCTGAGCGATTAAGGCGCTAGCTCCCAACCAGGAGATCTGGGGTTCGACTATGGTGTTAGAAGAGTAAGTTTCCCAGGACTAGACGAAGATCAAAGGGGAGATTACAGACGATGCTTTTAAACCATTTTATTTACTGACTGGTGGCTGAGCGATTAAGGCGCTAGCTCCCAACCAGGAGATCTGGGGTTCGACTATGGTGTTAGAAGAGTAAGTTTCCCCAGGATTAGACGAAGATAAAGGGGAGATTACGGACGATGCTTTTAAACCATTTTATTTACTGACTGGTGGCTCAGTGATTTAGGCGCTAGCTCCCAACCAGGAGATCTGGGGTTCGATCATGGTGTTAGAGTAAGTTTCCAGGGATTAGCGTGCACGTAAAATTGCCCTTGACTATTAGAATTTAAAATACATGTAAGAGTAGGACATAGTGCTGCTGTCCAGGCAAAATTGCCCCCATAGCACAATAGATGGCATATGGCTGTTTTATTAGTCCAGTAGGAGTAGAGCAGTGGGACGTTAAACCCCATTTCATTTCATTCTGCTCTACTACCTTGAAACTGGCCAACAAACACAAAAAACGACCAATTCAATGTTTGTTATTTAATACCAATAAAATGATAAATTTTTTGTATTTTGGCTGTTTTGGTTTACAGCTGTTTTGGTTTACAGCTGTTTTGGTTTACAGCTGTTTTGACCTTATTCTATTTTATATCCTCTGCAGTTGACAAATTTTTCAATTCAGCATTTGTAATTTTAAACATCATATTTGATTACACAAGTAACATTATTTCAGTGAATTCTGTTTAAACAACAAATTCAATACGTTTCCAGATGAGGATACTTTCTTTCATAGTCACCATTCCAAAACGATACTTTTGTACTCAGCATTTGTAATTTCTAACATTGGAAAACTTGGGAAAGTCTAACAATACAATTAATAATTCTGAACATGGACCTCCAGTGAAATCAGTAAGCTCCCTTCCTTATGACGGATGACTCAGTTTAACCCGGAGGTTAACTATTCCTAATACTCACAGATCTCATAAAGATGAGAAATTTTTCTCTGTTCAAAATGGCTAACCTGATTTTCTACTTAAGGACACGTTGAAAAAAAGAATGAAAGGGAACTAAAACAGTTTTATGGGAAAACAATCACTGGTTTATTATACACAAGTACAACATTTCGATTATTATCATGCACAACGTTTCGATAAGTATCCTCTTATCAAGCACAATGACATTTAGTAAACTGGAGGGTAGGCCTATATACATGTATGTACAATATGAAGCCATACTTAATGAAAGTAACTTCTAATCTTGAATTTTTTTTCTGTTGGGAACTCAATGCCTACTATGAATCATTCAATACCATTTACTCCAACACTTGTCAGCTACAAAAGATCTATATGCGTGTATATAATTGCTGTTTGTATATCGAGAGTTCTATATTAATGGCATAACCATGTTTAATCCAAGTCTCGTCAATCCGACACCACGGACATCACATGACTTTATGTACTAGTCTCGTCAATCCAACACCAGGGATATCACTACAATCACTACCTCATCTAATGATAAGTAAAAACATTTGTAGGCTTTTGTTTTAAATAGTCGTGTATATATGTATTTGTCGACTCGTGAACCAAGTTGGGAAAGCGGCTAGACATTTTGGATTATCTTATCTATAGTCAAAGTGAATATATCTGAACCTGCTTCATTTAAATATACATCATGTGAGATTAGATAAAGAGCTGGAACTTCTCACTATAATAGTTAAAAACTTGATAATGTAAAGGCAATATGCTGAAAATTTCAGTCAAATTGCTCCAGTCTGAATCGAGATATTAGCGTTTGAATTTTAGGGATAGTCTCGATCATCATTAATAAAGTCGATACGATAATAAATCGATTATTAATTTCTGGATTAAATCATCAAGGAGCGTTGAACAGAAAATTGGATTCTAATCCAGTGAAAATCTGACACATAAGATGGCATCAAGAGATGATTAAGGTCTTTTCATGTTAATAAATGTCTAATTAATAGTTTATTTCAGGCCTAAAGAAAACCCTGAAAAAGGCAGATTTAGCTCTTGCATAATCTATGTTTAATATCTGGAAATATAAATTGAACAAACAGAAAGATTGTTCTACAACATGCCGTGGGACGGATGGCCAAATAGTTAGCGCAAGAGAGCTGTATCATAAGGTCTGTCATTGAGTCAACTGGCGTGGTTTCGATTCCCGGTTGTATGTGACAAGGAGTAGGGTCACCTGTCCAACATTGTGGGTTTCTCCAGGTCCTCCGGTTTCCTCCCACTGCTAAAGACCTGTACGCGGAAGTGAATTATTGAAATAAAATTGAACCATATGTTAGGACCAAAATGACCTAGTTTGTGTCGAGTATTTTTTAAAATAAAATTAAACCATATGTTAGTCCCGAAATGATCTAGTTTGTGTCGGTGGACCTTAAACCCCATCTCTCTCTATCTCTCTCTCTCTCTCTCTCTCTCTCTCTCTCTCCATGCAATGGGCTATGAGAGAAATTTTGCCAAGCTGAGCATGTCACAATATGCCAATGTCCCGTCAGACTGGAGCGACTGGAGCGTAGGAAAACAACTTGCAGAACACACCCATATTACATACAGATCAATGAATTATGATTAATTTCTGTTATAAGAGAATCTAATAGGATATTTTCCAGCAGAATGGAAGCAGAAGATCTACCAGAGTGTGTATATTATTATAAGTACAGTTTGTATGTTTTAATTACATGAAATAAAATATAAACTTACTACAGGTAAATACATGGAACCGTGCCAAACTAAACTCCCAAGGCAAGGTACAATGTAGAGAGAGAAAAAAACCCGACGAAGTGGAATGCAGGTAAAAATAGACAGGTAAATGATTGTATTTCGGTGTCATGGATGTAAGTATAGAAATAAAAATAAACTTTGTCGATAATCAAACAGTCCATGTAATTCTACTTGAGGTGTGGGTGGTAGGGAAGGAAATGTCGAGGACAGAAATGAAATGAAATGGGGTTTAACGTCCTACTGTTCGGCTCCTAAAGGGCTAATGAAGATGGGCATACGCCATACAGTGTGCTATGAGGGAAATTTTGCCCGGGCAGCGGCGCTATTGCCTACTCTTATATCAAATTCCAAATGCCAAGGGATCTTTTATATGCACACCAATATACACAACCTTGTTTTTTAGTCTCATCCAAACAACTACATGTAGGCAAATTATCCTAGCCAGACATTACCCCTGACATTGCTACAAAAATCCAAAGTTTCTTATAACTTATAAAATAACTCTACCTTAATTAAAGAAGACCTTTTTTTTGCTTCATTAGTCATTCACGAACTGTCAACAAACTATTTGAAATTCCTTAGTACAACAAACCACAGGAGCGTGAGTTAATAGTTCACCATTTTCAACACAGACACGGGTAATTAAACAGTTATTCTCTAAGGAACTAATCTATTAATCTTAGATGGGGTATGCCGTGATTGAGTCAGTGTGTGGGAGGTACAGGTCAAGGCAATTGACTGAGACTAATGAGAGAGAGAGAGAGAGAGAGAAAGAGAGAGAGAGAGAGAGAAAGAGAGAGAGAGAGAGTTTTATGTCCACTCAACAAATTAGTTTGTTTTAGGAAAAACCTAATATATGTTTTATCTTAATGCTTTGAATTTATACAGAGATTTCTCTAGCAATGAGTGGGGAGGGGTGGATGGCCGAATGGTTAGCACGTGCACGCTGTATCATAAGGTCTGTCGTCTGTCACAGAGTTGTATGTGACAAGGAGTAGGGTCGACTGTCAAACCTCATGGGTTTTCTCCGGGTTCTGCGGTTTCCTCCTACTGCTAAAGACTCCTACACACAAGCAAATTATTGAAATAAAATTCAATCATGTGTTAGTCTCAAAATGACCTAGTTTGTGTCGAGTGGGCGTTAAACCTCTCTCTCTCTAGCAATGAGTGGAAATCAGAGAACCCAATAAAAAACATGTATTCAAAGCAATATAGACAGCATGCATGTATGAATAACAGAACAACATTGGATGTTACTGTACAAATAGATTGTTTGATTGTGTGCAAACATGAATGATTCAGATAATAAAAACATTTGCTTACCTTAAAACAAACTATGTTATAGGATCAGGAAATGGTACTCAAGTTTATAAGTAGCCCAGTATTTCTTTACCAAATAACGTATATACTAAAACATCTAAACACAATAACAGCCAACTCTATACTATTAGTAAAATACTTGTGGCTTTTCACAGCTGTAAAACTATGCCTGTGGCACTTTTCACTCTCTCTTTCTGTCTTTTCCAATGGTGAATGAGTTTGTTATCACGCTATCTGCAAGACAAAGATTATATAGTTAAGTAGCAATGGACTGGAGAGGTTTTGGTATGCACAACAAGCGTACTTCTCTGTTTTTGTAGATAATAATAAACAGGGGAAATCGTAGATTATCTATGGAATTTTTATTATCCAGTTCATAAATGAATGATTTAATCTTTTTTGGCAAGTAAATAAATGAACAGTATATACACTGTATATATTTTGTTTTTCAAGTTAGTTTCAGCAATGACACCTTTTATTGCCAGGCCCCCTGTTCTGCAGGGAATTTAGAGAATTGTCTTGGGAAAGCTCATCACCATACCCCCTCCCATCCTACTGGAAAATATTATTATTCTAAAAATATGAATTAAATGGTGAATCATTGCTGCAGAAAAAAAGGACATTCAACTTGCTCAACCCCATTTCATCGCATTTAATTTCAAAAAGCTTTATTACCGAAAATACAACTGATAACAAGAAACAATGAAATGAAATGGGGTTTAACGTCCTACTGTTCTGCTCCGAACTGGGCTAATGAAGACCTGGCACACACCATACAGTGTGTAATGAGGGAAATTTTGGCCGGGCAGTGGCACTATGGCCTACTCTTACATGTACATTGTATATCGATTCCAACTGCCAAGGGATCTTTTACGTGCATGTCAATGTGTACAAAGAAACTCTTTTTTTTTTTGTCCCTTCTGAACGACTAGACAGTTGTTCATGATAACAAGTAACAATCATTTAATAAATAAATTGCACAACTGAATAAAGTGCACTTCGTAACTTTTAGTTATCTGAACCAGTCTGTATGAAACAGACAGTATACATAGATATTTCAACAACCCGATAAATATACAGAGAAAACTGCTTAAAATTTATTCAATTAGCCACCAGTTTACGTGTCTTCCTTTATCAGGAACCATAGAAAATCGTTTTTGCTCAACATGTAAACCCCAAGAATATCTGGCAGAACAAATGATTAATTGGACAACTGGATTGTATCAAAAAGATTTCAAAAGATGAAACCATTGCTAAATGAGTTGGTGGAAGATCATCTTCAGAACGGATGCTAAAAAATCCCACTTTCATTTGGCTGGTTAAAGTAGATAATTGTATGCAGCTAGCAATCAATATAAATTCAATATTACTCTTGAGCTGTGCAAGATCCACAACCCCAAATCAATATCTGATGTGTGGAAAAAGATGCAATGCGAATTAACAAGACATTCAAGATTTTTGACAGCGCGATAAAAAGGCTAGGGGAATAAAAGGAGTCAATAACAAAACCCCCCTGGTTATTAACGTGACTTTAAGTTCAAAATGTCATGTTCGCTAAAATTGTGTATAAAATATTCTCTTATTAATAACATCTGAAAAAATATAATTTCTAGATTACCAATAAAAACCCAATAAGAACCAGGGTCCATCATATCATGTCATATTTCTGATGTCACACGTCATTCTATGTCACATGTCATACTCATATTTGTAATATAATTCCATACGTCATGTAAGAGTATGTCTAATGTCATGCAGCACTCTTATGTCTAACATCATGTCTCATCATAGTGTGTCTAATGTCATGTCACGCCATAGTATGTCTTATGTCATGTCATAGTGTGTCTAATGTCATGTCACGTCAAAGTATGTCTAATGTCATGTCACGTCAAAGTATGTCTTATGTCATGTCACGTCAAAGTATGTTTTATGTCATGTCACGTCAAAGTATGTCTTATGTCATGTCACATCATAGTGTGCCTTATGTCATGTCACCTCATAGTATGTCTTATGTCATGTCACGTCATAGTGTGCCTAATGTCATATCACACTCACATGTCTAATGCAAATGATAACATCATAGTAACAGAAATGAAATTAAATGGGTTTAACGTCCTAGTGTTCTGCTCCGACCTGGGCTAATGAAGACGGGCATATGCCATACAGTGTGCTATGATGAGGGAAATTTTGCCCGGACAGCGGCACTACTGCCCACTCTTATATCGAATTCTAACTGTCAAGGAATCTTTTCTGTGCACGCCAATGTGTACACAGGACCTCGTTTTTTCATCCCATCCAAACAACTAGACAGCTGTCCATGTCAGGCCCTCCACCCTGCATCACTGATGGCAAATATTTATGAACTTTCTTGGCCAATGCAGGGATCGAACACCCAACCTCCAGGCTAGTGAGCCAGCGTCTTACCCACTTAGCCAACTGTTGCCCCCATCATAATAACATGATTTAACTTAATCTTGAATAACACCAGATATGTACAATTAAACCAGGAACAGAATCAATACACTTGGTAACTTAATGTTTTTTGGGCAACACTCTTCAACATATACTCAGTTTGCTAATGACCGAAATCCTCAATTGACACCTCACGAGTGATGATCAATCCAGTATCCTCCAAGTGTTATGTTTTGCTGAGACGATCTCTTGATGATCTGTCAATAATCAGCATAACAATTAGGTCAAGTAGAGAGAGAGAGAGAGATGGAGAGAGAGAGAGAGAGAGAGAGAGAGAGAGAGGGTTTAACCTCCACTCAACACAAATTAGGACTAACATATAGTTCAATTTTATTTCAATAATTCCCTTCTACTTAGGTGTCTGTCTGTAGGAGTGGTCGGGTGGGAGGAAACCGGGGAAAACCTCACAAGGTTAGACAGGCGACCCTGGTAATTGTGGGATAATTGCGACAAAAAAACACTTGTTTGTGATTAGTAAAACCCTATTTTTTCCAAATTTCAATGTACATCCTGTGGTCATTTTAATACTAAGAGCATAAAATGAGATGACAAGTGGTTCTTCTGAGTTCATTGTAGGGATTCAAATATAGATATTCGATTTGTGAGTCCAGGGGCTGCTGTAGGGGATTTAAACACAGATATTCTATTTGTGAGTCCCGGAGCTGCTCTAGGGGATTTAAACACAGATATTCTATTTGTGAGTCCCGGGGCTGCTCTAGGGGATTCAAATATAGATATTTTATTCATGAGTCCAGGGGCTGCAATAGGGGATTCAAACATAGACATTTTATTCATGAGTCCAGGGGCTGCAATAGGGGATTCAAACATAGACATTTTATTCGTGAGTCCAGGGGCTGCAATAGGGGATTCAAACATAGACATTTTATTCGTGAGTCCAGGGGCTGCTGTAGGGGATTGGTATTTATACATGTATGTAGGGGAAAGAGAATAGGAGTGTAACGTTCACTCAACACAAACTGTAGTTCATTTAGGGACTAACACATTTCTGCATAACGAAGAGTGAGATCGGGACTAACATATGGTGAAATTCAATAATTCTCTTGGAATTGTGGAAGGAAACTGGAGGACCCAGAGAAAACCCACAAGGTTTAACAGGCGACCCTAGTCCTTGTTACGTACAAGACAAGTGTTCGATCGAAACCACCTCACTTGTCTCAATGACAGACCTTATAATAAAAAGCGCAAAACTTTGGCATAATAAGATCAGATTATTGCATACGTACATGCATCGAACCAACAATTATAAAACCGAGATGAGAATGAAATCATGTAGACAGATTTTAATTATAATTGAAAACTCGCTGAACATGTTTTAATATCCATGTACATTCATCATACAATCAATCTTTTCAGTTTATTTGGACCCACAGCGACAGCGAGATTTACAAAACGACTCGTCAAGAACTGCAAATCCTGTTTATTAATTTATTATTAATGGTCTATGAATGCTACATGTACATGCTTGTCTTTTAAAAGCAAAACCTTGTCTATTTACATCCATGCATATCTATCGAGTCTATCGGTATTCATAGCCACACAAATAACCTGACAATCTAATACAATTCTCAGGTTTTTCTTTCAATACTCCCTGTCATAAAAACATTATTTTCTTGCTTGAGTAGAATCTACATACTTCCATATTTTTTTTTTTTTGTATTCTGATCGATATTTAAGCTTACTATTTGATTATTAGTAAATATAAATAGTGGTCCCCCTAGGCCATTTGCTCTGAAATATTTTTTGTTAATAATTATACAAGGTCTGGTTTAGAAGTAATGTTTAGTTAAAGTAACGATATGTAATTTTCTGAAAATATCAGGGAGCCACATGGAATCTTTGTAAATACTGAAAATCATGCATAATAGAATCTTTAAAGATGGGTTCCCGCGTACAAACTGGGTGATTTAAAGTAGCTAAGTCTCTAACTCAATATCATCCAAAACCTTCAACATTGAAAACACGAATTATGTGTCTGTTTTAATCAACATTGATGTTGTCATCCTACCGGGAAAAAGATGGGCGTCTGATATTCAATATTTAAGACAAAATAAACATTTTACTTGGTACACGAATCAAGTACCATAATGCGTTTCAGCGCAATTTGTTACAGACGACTCAAAGAACGAGGTTAGACATATTCCACAAGTCATGTCAAACGGTGACCCCATATTCTTATCTGAAGAGCATGCGCAAAAATACTATCGGTGTAGACTGCAGTAACCAGACGCTAGAGATTGCCATTTGATTGAGACTTCTGGAGTATTTCGTCGAACATAACTGCCTTGAAATTAGAGTAAAAACGGAAACGATTGAATGTAAATCAGTTTATTTACATTCATATTACATTTCGACCCATTACATTATATAAGTTTCGACCCATTTGTGTCAATTTGTAGATCCCAAATAGCTCCTTTAATGGTATATATGGTATATAGTATTTTTCTAGTAAGATTGGATACAATGTATCTCTTTTTTCCATATATACCAAAATTATCATACTTTTATTGGAAATAACCACCCGATAAATACTTTTCTGGGAACCCATCTTTAACATTTGATGATATAGAAGTGGGGTTTGTGCACCTACATGTACCTATCTAATATACATGTATAATGACAGACATTTTACGTAGACAACAAATTCCAACTGCCGCAATTAGGGTGATTTTTCATGCCTGCCAAAGTGTTTATGGAACTCTTTTTTTTCTTGTACTATCAAACGACTAATTGGTAGAAATCAA